GAAAACTGAAACATTTAGTTGAGTTTTGAACATTAAACAATTTGTTGCATTTATAAATTTGCATTTTGATTTTAGTTAGTGGCTTTAAAAACACTTACTATTTATTTAGAAAGGCTTGAGCGAAAAGTATATTTAAATATTCCAGCCTGCATGACTGTTTTTAATCAACTAGGAGAACTGATCACTTTGTGGTGACATGAAAGGCTTGGGTAATCTCTTGAAGAGGGAGATTGTTTCATTGTTCTTTCTAACCACAGAGTTCCTGAATTTTAATATTCAGGACAATCACAACTAAAATTTCCGAAGCGAAGAAGCATAGTAGCAAGATTTTAGCTTGTTGGTTGGCAGGACTGTCCTGCGAACTAACACCTTTTAAAACCTAGGAGAAAAAAATTTTAAGTCAGGGCAATAACGTTGGAAGTCAGGAAAAATGTTTTATCCTAAGTCATATCCTCAAAGTGCAGATTAGTGAATAAATTTAGAAGGCTATAGCAATGTAGTATGATGCCATTTATATTCTGCAGTTAGTCTATATGACGCGGATAAAAGTAATTTCGTGCATTTGGTAAATTCTGTTCGATGACACTGCACCAATTTTACGAATATTGCGAGATTCAATGGGGACATTGACCGGGCTGTCCGGGGAGTATGTGACATTCGACCAGAATGGACGAAAATCCAGTTTCGAGTTTTAGCAGCGGGCCTTCCGAATTGGCAGTTTTGAGGGATTGAGAGCGTTATTCAGGCGATTAGACAAATTGTAAAGGCTGAAGGATTCGGAAATTCCTAAATCTTAAAAATTCGAAATGATTACGTAATAATTCTGAGAAACGTCAAAAACGGCCATTTTGAAAAAAAAACTTGAATAAAAACACAACAACGATAGTTGCGACGACGACAACAACGAGAAAATTGAGAATCAGAATCGGAGAAAAGCAGAAGTAGCAGAGACCGCTCCGAGTTGCAACTATTGTGCCGCTACAATAGTTGCAAGGCCGTTGCAAACAACGGTGAAGGGTAGAAGACAGCCTTCTGGAAGGAAAAAAAGGGGTCTTATTTCCCCGGATGCAAGAATCCGGAGGGGTCTCGGGACTGGAACTCATATCATTATATACAAATTTTTAACTTCCCTCTTATGTCCTGAATTGAATTTAATTAACATCTGAATTCATTTTGCAAGGATGAGAAGCTATGAGTTGGGGGAAAGGTTGATCCATCTTCGATGGAGATGATGATTTTTATCTACTGAACAAAAACAATCATAATATCATAAATAGTAGTAGCCCTGATTTTAGGAGTGACCTCGTGGTCTGGGGATACGGAGACCCAGCCATGAGCTCACAATTTTTGCACGTATTTAAGTTAATCTGAGTGTTTTGACCGAAGCCGGAAGCAGTAACGTTTTTGTCGACCCGATGTTAAAAAGACCACCAAAAGAACTGGCTTTGGTAGAGACGGTGAAAAGCATGTAGAGCTCTGCTTAGACGTTGGCCAGTCGTCTTAGAACCTAGCTTTATTTTCCGTCGATATGTACTTCCGGGCAAATGTTACAATTGGTATTGATGATTCAGTTTGGCATTGGTATTGGTATTGAGGCCCCTGGTTTTGGTATTTTGGTATTGGTATTGAATTCCCTGATATATCCTCCTTAACTAAATTATTTGCAAGCGAGGGTTAACTCATTTGATTTAAACAACTCTTGTACTATGTTTTTGGCCTCTAATTGTATTATTACAGTTATTTAAGTTATTTGGTTTGATTCTTTTGAGTCGGAAACCTCGCTCGGTCTTAAAGATATCTCTATTCCTTCGATATCATCTAACCAAGATTTTGGGGTCACAAATTCTCAAAAACTAAAATGGGACAACCATCTTAAATTCAAGCTTATTGCGGTAAATAAATCTTTTTATTTTATCAAACGTTCTATTCCATACAGCGTCGCATTGTGGACCAAGTTTAAATATTATCATTTTTGCATAAGAAGTGTCCTTAAAATTACAAAGTAAATTCACAAAAGAAAAAAAATACAACATCACAGTGATGGAAGTTTAAATCTTGGCTGTGGTCGGTTCTCCACTTCCGGGTTCCCCTCAACCCTGTGATAGCTGATTGTAGGAGCGAGAAAGACCTCTCCAGCCGGATTTCACTAATGGCATCGGGATAGGGCGTATTACTCTTGTCGGATATCTTCTGAGTGAGCTTTTCCATGAATTTTGGGGCTTCTTTTCCCATGCCACCAGTCGTTGAAAACACAAGGGGCGTGAATGTTCTACGTTCAACGTTATTAATTCTGCAATTATATGCCCTCCTCGTTTCATTCTCATGGTTAGCATATACCGATTTGACTGATTTTCCAATATAACTTGGTGCGTTGGGATGAAATACACGAACGTCTAAATAAGTCTTAACGCTTCATGCCCAAAAATTGTCGCAGACGATGTCGAGACGCGCTTCGTCAGATGAGTTTGCAGTACTCGGTTGGAGATATTCACCGCTGAGAGGCTGCAAAAGAGGCTCAATGCCAACTCCTCGGCAAAAAGAATCTAGAGTATGGGCGAAAAAAATTCAAATCCCGTCATGTCGCTGCGCAACAAATCTCCGGTTTTACAAATCATGGCGTGCTCTACATTTTAGGACTGAACACAAACGCAATTGGTCAGCAGGCTCTTGAGACGCCTTTACGGAGTGCGTATCCCTTTTCTTCAATCGGAAGGGTATTCAGCCAATGGAAGCTCCTCTCTCGGCTGTTAACTCCACATTGGTTTTTCAGAACTAGTGGAAACCGACAAAATGTTCTGAAGAAGTTCTTCTGAACATTCTCGTTTCTTTTTCATAAGAACATACTTCTGTTTCGCCTGCTCATGATGTGTGTCACCGTTAACGATAACTGCTGTTCATTTATGAGAATAATCAAAGGGGTAGCCAGAATAACAGAGCTCGTTAGCTCACCGGGGGAAGACATCACGGGGTTCTGAATGTCAAGTCCGACCAGACGGCATGGAAGCCTCAATGTGTCATGAAGATTGGTATTACACGGGTGCCCCAACAGAGCAGGGATGAATTGATTCTCGATTGTTTCATCTAGGCAGTGCACATGATCACTGAAAGTGTCCACGGTACGGGCAAGAAAGTTCCACTTGTTCCGGAATCCAAAAGTGAAACCAGCATAGGCTGCTTGCGAGTGTATTGACGCAATTCCTGACAGTTTCTCAAGTTGTTTCCCAATTTTGTCACCGCGGTTGGTCAAGAACTGATTCTCATACTTTTTGCTCCCAAGTGGTGTGCCTAAATACTTAGCACCTTTAACAGTGATGACTACACCAGTTTCTTCAAAGACAAGTTTCGCTTCATTCAGCTGTTCAGGTTTGACAACTAAGAGGGTCTTCTCTGCATTCGGGTAGTAACAAAAGCTCGGTCCCATCTGAGAAAGAAAGTCCCACCAATGTCTTAGTTGCCTCAGTTTTCCAGCACCTCCAGCGTCATCCGCAGCTTACCACTGTTCACAGGAACATAGTAGACAAGCAGAGTAATAGAGAGGCAAACGGAAAACCATGCCAGACGGGTCTCCCTGTGTCGTTCCCTCTTCACCGGACAATTCTTCACCAAAGCTGAAAAGCCTGTTCGCATGGCGGTAAAGATTATGGACAAATGTTGACACAAGGGGGCAGCTGTACTGGATGTTATGTAGAGCTACTCTAATGTTAAGGAGGTTAAAGGCATTTTCTGCGTCTACCAGAAGAACTCCGTCACTGTCAGAATCGTTGAAGAAGTTTCTCATAGAATGAGTAGCGGCATCAATACCACTCATATGACCAGCAGCGAGTTGTAGGGGGCCAGATGACTGCTCCATTTCAGTTTTAAACTTCCTGCAAACTGTCTTACCAATGATGCGGAGCATAACTTTCCCAATGCCGATTGGGCGGACACCAGGACATTTATCGTGAGAGCAACAAGGCGACTGGCAAGAAGAGACTCAACGGATGACGTATCCGTATATGTCTTGCAGAGTTTGTGGGACATCAGGGCAAGAGCTTAGCAAAGATAATTTGAGGCTGGCCGAAACTCTTTGGAACAAAGACTACGCCGCATACCCAGAGCGTCCAGGCCCGAGGGTCCTGCTCCACCATGTGTATGTTGAGCAGCTGTTCGAACATCTTCACTAGAAATGGAGTCGAAAATCACATCATAAACTTTTGCAAGCAGTCCTCTTAGAACACCACTCCAATTGACAGATGCAGCTTTAGGGTGCTTGTCATTCAGGATTTTCATGGTCTCAGAGGTTGGTTCGAGTACGCCGTCCTCCGATCTGTCTTCAAAGAGTCTTATGCTAAAGAAGGACTATTGCGTTGCTTCGGTTTTTGCGATTAGATAGCGATAGCTTCATCCAATTTTTCAGTAATTATACCATCCTGCCACAACGTTAAGCGCCTTTCAAGAGCAGCATCATGCTCACGCGTTTTCGAACTTTTCGATGGTTTCTGCAGAAGTAACGGGGGCAACGCTATTGCAGCTTTAATAGAGAAAGATTCCAGTGATATATTAAGATTCCAATCGTTGATAAGTTTGTTGAGTTCAGTAACAAACCTCTTGCCATGCACACCAGAGGGTAATTTGAACAAGTTTTTCTTCCAGTGCACTACATGTTCATCTGCATTATTAAAGAAAGTTTCAAACTCAACGCCCGAAAGCTTGCCCCAGGCTTGTTCAGGGCGCCTACACTTATAACGATCGGGTACTAACAGGTTCGGCTACTCTTCGGCGTCGTTTGAGAGGACGTCGCAAGTTTCACACAAAAAAGTTTTGTCTCCAAGTTTCAATACTGCTTTCTCAGATGTCTTTGCACAGGAATAATGAAACCAAGTAAAGCAACGATCACACTGAACACCTCTCGTTCTGACAAGGCCACCCTACTTAAACCCAAAATTGCCACATTGTGCGCCGGTTTCTGTTCCCGGCTTCATCTTCGCTGTTCTTCGTGTTTTATTGTTTTAATCGAAAATTATTTAATAAGTTTATCACAACAATTCGGCTAATAACTATAACAATAAGAAGTGTCCTTCTCTACGGCATTCAACTCTGGTTTCCTTCCGTACTTTACAACACAAGCAGTTGACGATATTGTTTGGGAACGTTGTGATGAAAGCAAGGACGGAAACGGAACTAATCGCAGATTGCCATGGAGGAACCGAGGTGAATCTAGTGACTGCACTAGGATTCTACAGCATGTTTGGTTCTTTAGAGTCGCTATTGAATCTAGAACAGAAACATGAGATGGTCACAGCCATCAGTGTAGAAGTGTTCCCAGGAGTTTTGCAAACTGAGCAAAAATACATAGGAAAATGGAGGGAAGCGATCGAGACGGAAATGAACATCCGACACAGTGAAACTTATCGTAGACCATCAGGAGCACGATGTTTGATGGGATCGACATTAGCTCCAATGTGCAAGAGCAGATACCCGGTGCATTTTGTAGCTGTGGATGTAAAGAGTACGAGAACGATCGTGGATCAAGCCTTCTCAGTGCCAAAGTGTGTGAGACTAACGAGAATGTCGGAAAAATCTTACGATTTACTGTGTAAAACGTTCTCAGCAGTTCCAGAGAGAACAAAGGAGGAGTTGGAATCAATACTGGGAAGGAAGTTCATGGGATACGTGAGTGGGAACTTCAGTGACTTTGTGAGACAGAAACAGAGAGGATCAACCGTTACAGATTACAATACAGTAGACGAGAATGATGAAGTCCACCGAGTGATGATGGAAGTGGAACCATTACTGGAAGCTTCGGGAAAGCGTAATTGGAGGAGCATCATGTTGACACATGAAGAGTTTCCCTGCCACTGCTTGCTGCAAACATGGTGGTATCCCGGGCGTAGTAATCTGCTGTTGATCTGGGACTCTGGAGAGCTGCTCTCCATGTGTTTACCAGACTCATCACGGCCCATAACAATACTGATACTGGGAGTTATGATGGCGATACGATGGCTGGAAGCTCATGTCAGGGAGAACAATAGACAGGAGGCACCAACGCGGGAACAATTGCAGAAATTGGATTGTCTAAAAGATTTAGTTCTTTTTGAGACAACGTGCAAGATTCTGAACATTCCGATGGAAGTAAAAAAAGATATGGACAAGAAGACGACTGATGCCATGGTTTAGAGCCAACATGACTGCATGGTTGTACGAATATGCCAAAAAGCATATGTCGAAGCACGACAGAGTGTATAGTGGGTATCAGCTGGACATTGTGGCAGGAGCTTTCAAGCGAGCTCTCGTGACTCATCGGAATGCAGTGACCACCGCTGTGAAGAGAATTTCCAGGACAAGTGAACGTAGTGGAAAAGAAAAAGAAGAGATGTTGAAGGAAGATTTGGAGAAAACGTGACTTTGTGTCTCCACAACAGCTTCTGCCGGAACAGAGAATCTAATGTGGATCCCCTACCTTGTTGTAAACAGAGGGTAGAAGAGCAGAAGTGTTGGAGGACTGCTTCCAACAGCGTCAGAATAGCTAACGATGTGTTGCAAGACACAGAAACTGAAAACGCAGAGTCAATGTCACAGGAGGAGGAGATAAAACATTGACGAATGGCCGGAGAGACAAGACGCTAAAAGAAAAAAAAAACTAGAAAAATTTAGAAGTTTTAGAACTTCTAAACAACGAAAAAAGAAGAAACAAAGAAGTGACAAAAGAGAAGAAGTTGAAACTCAGAATTGTTTTATGTGTGTGACGAAAACTCAAGTGAGAAACTAAGCAACCGGGTTGTAATTGAAAACTGAAACATTTAGTTGAGTTTTGAACATTAAACAATTTGTTGCATTTATAAATTTGCATTTTGATTTTAGTTAGTGGCTTTAAAAACACTTACTATTTATTTAGAAAGGCTTGAGCGAAAAGTATATTTAAATATTCCAGCCTGCATGACTGTTTTTAATCAACTAGGAGAACTGATCACTTTGTGGTGACATGAAAGGCTTGGGTAATCTCTTGAAGAGGGAGATTGTTTCATTGTTCTTTCTAACCACAGAGTTCCTGAATTTTAATATTCAGGACAATCACAACTAAAATTTCCGAAGCGAAGAAGCATAGTAGGAAGATTTTAGCTTGTTGGTTGGCAGGACTGTCCTGCGAACTAACACCTTTTAAAACCTAGGAGAAAAAAAATTTAAGTCCGGGCAATGACGTTGGAAGTCAGAAAAAATGTTTTATCCTAAGTCATATCCTCAAAGTGCAGATTAGTGAATAAATTTAGAAGGCTATAGCAATGTAGTATGATGCCATTTATATTCTGCAGTGAGTCGATATGACGCGGATAAAAGTAATTTCGTGCATTTGGTAAATTCTGTTCGATGACACTGTACCAATTTTACGATATTGCGAGATTCAATGGTTTCATTGACCGGTTTGTCCGGGGAGTATGTGATATTCGACCAGAATGGACGAAAATCCAGTTTCGAGTTTTAGCAGCGGGCCTTCCGAATTGGCAGTTTTGAGGGATTAAGAGCGTTATTCAGACGATTAGACAAATCGTGAAGGCTGAAGGATTCGGAAATTTCTAATTTTTAAAAATTCGAAATGATGACGTAATAATTCTGAGAAACGTCAAAAACGGCCATTTTGAAAAAAAAACTTGAATAAAAACACAACAACGATAGTTGCGACGACGACAACAACGAGAAAATTGAGAACCAGAATCGGAGAAAAGCAGAAGTAGCAGAGACCGCTCCGAGTTGCAACGATTGTGCCGCTACAATAGTTGCAAGGCCGTTGCAAACAACGGTGAAGGGTAGAAGGCAGCCTTCTGAAAGGAAAAAAAGGGATCTTATTTCCCCGGATGCAAGAATCCGGAGGGGTCTCGGTACTGGAACTCATATCATTATATACAAACTTTTATCTTCCCTATTATGTCCTGAATTGAATTTAATTAACATTTGAATTCATTTTTCAAGGATGAGAAGCTAGGAGTAGGGTGGAAGGGTTGATCCATCTTCGATGGAGATGATGATTTTTATCTACTGAAGAAAAACAATCATTATATCATAAATAGTAGTAGCCCTGATTTTAGGAGTGACCTCGTGGTCTGGGGATACGGAGACCCAGCCATGAGCTCACAATTTTTGCTTGTATTTAAGTTAATCTGAGTGTTTTGACCGAAGCCGGAAGCAGTAACGTTTTTGTCGACCCGATGTTAGAAAGACCACCAAAAGAACTGGCTTTGGTAGAGACGGTGAAAAGCATGTAGAGCTCTGCTTAGACGTTGGCCAGTCGTCTTAGAACCTAGCTTTATTTTCCGTCGATATGTACTTCCGGGCAAATGTTACAATTGGTATTGATGATTCAGTTTGGCATTGGTATTGGTATTGAGGCCCTGGTATTGGTATTTTGGTATTGGTATTGAATTCCCTGATATATCCTCCTTAACTAAACTATTTGCAAGCGAGGGTAAACTCATTTGATTTAAACAACTCCTGTACTATGTTTTTGGCCTGTAATTGTATTATTACAGTTATTAAAGTTATTTGGTTTGATTCTTTTGAGTCGGAAACCTCGCTCGGTCTTAAAGATATCTCTATTCCTTCGATATCATCTAACCAAGATCTCGGGGTCACAAATTCTCAAAAACTAAAATGGGACAACCATCTTAAATTCAAGCTTATTGCGGAAAAAAAACTTTTCATTTTATCAAACGTTATATTCCATACAGCGTCGCATTATGGACCAAGTTTAAATATTATCAACTTTGCATAAGAAGTGTCCTTCAAATTACAAAGTAAATTCACAAATGAAAAAAAATACAACATCAAAGTGATGGAAGTTTAAATCTTGACTGTGGTCGGTTCTCCACTTCCGGGTTCCCCTCAACCCTGTGATAGCTGATTGTAGGAGCGAGAAAGACCTCTCCAGCCGGATTTCACTAATGGCATCGGGATAGGGCGTATTACTCTTGTCGGATATCTTCTGAGTGATCTTTTCCATGAATTTTGGGGCTTCTTTTCCCATGCCACCAGTCGTTGAAAACACAAGGGGCGTGAATGTTCTACGTTCAACGTTATTAATTCTGCAATTATATGCCCTCCTCTTTTCATTCTCATGGTTAGTATATAACGATTTGACTGATTTTCCAATATAACTTGGTGCGTTGGGATGAAATACACGAACGTCTAAATAAGTCTTAACGCTTCATGCCCAAAAATTGTCGCAGACGATGTCGAGACGCGCTTTGTCAGATGAGTTTGCAGTACTCGGTTGGAGATATTCACCGCTGAGAGGCTGCAAATGAGGCTCAATGCCAACTCCTCGGCAAAAAAAATCTAGGGTATGGGCGAAAAAATTTCAAATCCCGTCATGTCGCTGCGCAACAAATCTCCGGTTTTACAAATCATGGCGTGCTCTACATTTTAGGACTGAACACAAACGCAATTGGTCAGCAGGCTCTTGAGACGCCTTTACGGAGTGCGTATCCCTTTTCTTCAATCGGAAGGGTATTCAGCCAATGGAAGCTCCTTTCTCGGCTGTTAACTCCACATTGGTTTTTCAGAACTAGTGGAAACCGACAAAATGTTCTGAAGAAGTTCTTCTGAACATTCTCGTTTCTTTTTCATAAGAACATACTTCTGTTTCGCCTGCTCATGACGTGTGTCACCGTTAACGATAACTGCTGTTCATTTATGATAATCATCAAAGGGGTAGCCAGAATAACAGAGCTCGTTAGCTCACCGGGGGAAGACATCACGGGGTTCTGAATGTCAAGTCCGACCAGACGGCATGGGAGCCTCAATATGTCATGAAAATTGGTATTACACAGGTGCCCCAACAGAGCAGAGATGAATTGATTCTCAATTGTTTCATCTAGGCAGTGCACATGATCACTGAAAGTGTCCACGGTACGGGCAAGAAAGTTCCACTTGTTCCGGAATCCAAAAGTGAAACCAGCATAGGCTGCTTGCGAGTGTATTGACGCAATTCCTGACAGTTTCTAAAGTTGTTTCCCAATTTTGTCACCGCGGTTGGTCAAGAACTGATTCTCATAC